TAAAATCAATACTGTCACGAATAGACGTACACGACCTCATGTGTACTAGATACTTATCAATTGTTTAATTTTATACGTTGTAAAACTGTTTAATTTTATACGTTATAAAATTGTTTAATTTTTTTAAGTAAAATATTTGCATTTACTTGTGTTCTTGTCATTCTACTTACTATGTGCAAAGGTGGTTCGAAACAGGTGTCATCTTCACTCATTAATATTACTTTCTAAATGTTTTTGCGTATATTTACTTATTTTCATTTAGCATATCTGTATTAGTGCTTAATGAATATTACTGTTTCCGTTTTCTGTACGAATTTATTTATTACATCGCCTACAGTAGTGAGATCTCAATTTGAGGAGCTCTAGTCTCATACTGCATTCTTGCATAAGTATAGTAGAAGATATTACACCTATATTTTAATTTCATTTGTAACTGTATTTCACATATTATAATTTGTGTCTTTGCGTTCTGTCTTAACTGCATTATACAGTCGCACAGAATTGTTTCAAGTAACAGGAACCTGCAGAGTTTTCCTCCACAAGACTTACACATAGGGTCTATGTTTGAATTTTGAAACCAAATGTTTTTTCACTTCAATAAAGAATCTTGTTTCAGTCAGAGCATTACTTTATAACTTTTGTGGAATGTAATAATATGAGACTCCCAAAATATTTTCTTTGGGAGAGTTTATATAAATAATTGTCATCTGATTGCAAACCTAATCTTTTGATGAGTTTTTCAGATAGCAGATGGCTTTTTTCAGAATATTATTAAAACGCCGGGAGGCTTACCAAGCTCTAGGATCGGTGATTTTTTCTGGCTGTGTTAGTGTTAATTTTATCCTGAAATGCTTTGAGCTTTCTTGCATAATAGGTGAAAAAAATTCTGTTAAAAAAAAAAAAAAAAAAAAAAAGAAGAGAAAGAGGGGCAGGGGGACCTCTTAAAGTTGGTCAGTCAAAATATATTGTGCCATTTTTAGATGCCTTTTAGTAGAATACATACAATAGGTAAAAAGGACAAATTAAATGGTGCACAACGCTCTTTATCATTAACGAGATAAAACTAGTATTCTTTCATCAAAATTAGCGTTTTTTCGTTTAAGTAAAGACCCGTCTTTGGTGTGTTGCTTTTAATTTATTAACCAGCTAGTCCTTTCATTAGGATTTGAACTTGAATCGAAATATCAGTATTTGTTGGTTTTATCCACTTGGGCAGAGGAGTCACTCTGCCCATCTTTTTCCTTAATTTTAATTTTGAAAATATTCTAATAATTGTATTAAACTGCTATAAATTGTTTTATTTCTTGCCAAGAGCACGCCAGTTTAATTACCTATAAATCCCACTTAATTTAAATCATTTTTATTAAACTATCTTTTGAAGGAGAGGGTTTAAATGTAGAATTAAGACCTTTCTTTTCATCCTATAGTTACGAGATGAGAAATAATTATCTAACATAATTGTACTATTAGATATTTCCTAAACCAGGTGATAATACGTTCCTTTTACTCCTCTCTCTCATTCGCCTTATATGTAAAATGCTCTCCATGACAAAAAAGAGGGAGTAATAATTTTTCGGCAGTTTCCTTTTTAATGTCTCTGAGGATGTTTTATTCACACGCTGAATTTGTGTATCTCGCCCTCCAGTGATCTAATTATCCAACAACGTGACTGAAGTACTTCGTTCAAATCGCATTTCGCAACTGTTTCTGTTTGTTGGTGAGCGGAGTGAAGACCACCCCGAGTGAGATGTAGATGGAGTCACGACTGACCCTGAGGGCGACGACGACTAATGGATTGCTGTTTGGGAGGACACCCCTTCCTCTCCGGAACCTAGGAAGTGTCTTCCGAATTTTAACCAAACTTGTTTCTGTGGTATTCACGCATTCGTCCGTCGTCGAATGCCATCCCTTCAGAGCAAATTGTGGACAAAAGTCGAAGAGTCGGAAAAAAAAATCATATTCCGGATACTGCCGAATGAATCTGAGAAAAGAAAAAGAAATAGCATCAAGAGAACCGAAGGGATTACGAACGGCGTTAAGAGTTAAGCCCAAGTGAAACGAAAGTCACATAAGAAAAACGGCATTCACAAAACTATGTGTGAATTGGTTACAACCTAATGATGCATCAATTTTTTATTTACATTTCTTGCTTCAGTTAGTTTTGTCGTTCATGTGGATAAAGCTTGAAGCTGTCATTTTTCGAAGAAAACCCCTGCGTTTTCACGTATTTATTGTCTAGTAAAACAGAAGATATTCACGCTTCGACTTTAAGAAATGCTTACAATAAGCTTTCAGGCTAAATGGTCCACTGAAAAAAAAAAAAAAAAAAAAAAAAAAAAAAAGGGGCAAACTATGTCTTGAATAATTAATAATTTTCTCTGTTAAATAAATGTATAAGGTTCCACGAGGAGTAAATTCATGATGGAACTCTATTGTAGCAATTTTTAGGTGCAATCCATAATAATATTAAAAATATGGATGATATAATAAACATAATGAAATTTTGAAGCTTTATCCGCACGAACGACAAAACTAACTAAGTAAGAAATGGATGTACAAGATAATAGTACTAGTAGATAAAGCTGGTCAGTCTCTCTAATGCACATATTTTTTATTCTAAAAAAGGTTTGTGACATCAGCTACGAGAAGGGTAAAAGGTACTCTGATATATGTTTAATCTGCAGTTTATACTATATTTAAAAATCATTATTTTGAATTATTGCATATGAGACAGTGACATCTGGTTTTATTTTTACAATTTTGATAGATTACGCCATGATGAAGTCTTGCACTGCTTACAGTTGTACCTACCACTTTCAAAATGAAAACGAAACAGCCTAAGTATTTATCATGAAAAAGGGTTTCATTAGTGATAGTATGGTAACTGATGAAAATTATTAATAATATTTTATACCTTTTCCTTTTTTTCTGAGTCAATAATGAAATATTGAAATTTCGTAATGTTATTCTGCATTTATTAAATTTGAAACAGATGTGCACAAGTGAAATTAGTAAATTGAAATATATAGGTACTTTCTGATTATCTGATCTCTGGTTTCAACACTCTGTAGAACTATTCTGTTTTCGGTGTTTTACGAGCAATATACCATGAAGTTTAGTAGTAGTAGAGTTAGTTACCTTCTTACCACTATGGAATACACGCGATAGCAGCCAACCTTATATGAGCATACCATATACAATTTTCAGTACATGTGGATTTTCATGCTTTGTATTCAACTAAACAGTATCTACCGGGTACAAATATCGGTCATATAAAATTTTATTTTTTTAGCTTTATTTTGTTTCTTATAAAATGCTTCTTTTTTCATTATTTATGACCAGAATAAAATTTATATGACGTAAAGATAAGTAAACAAACATTTAGCGTCAATTTATAAATTCGCCAATTAGTTAGAAACATATTGTGCGGATGCAGATAACCAGAAAAGGCGGATAACTATATCAAAGTTATCTGAGTTCAGTCTAAAGCTGCAATTTTGCTTAAAATTATTTTATATTTTAACCTGCATGTGTATTCCATGGAATAAGGTGACTCATATGTTAAATTTATTTATTAAATTATTAGTAGCATGTGTCTATATTTAGTTCATTTTAACGATGTAACATGGAAACAGGCTTAAAAAATGCCTCATTGATGCTGTCATCATGCTGTCATTGATGCTCAGGCAGAAGTGAACAGTTACAATAATTATTGCCATTGCATTTTTTTCCACTCTTATGGATGTTGCCCAATTTCTCTATGGAATCAAATATTATTGCCTAATGCACAATATATTATTATTACTATAGCTATAGTATCATCTGGCATTGCTATATATTAAACAACTCGTTTTAAATATATAATTTTGTTTTATATTTTGAACTTCTAAAAGAGCCTTTCTTAAATTAACAAACCTCTCATGGCTGTTTAGCTTAAAATTGTTTTTTGTGTTAAAGTGAAATTTGCATACTAAGAACATAATGCAACTTTTCTTTCATATCTTATATAAATTTTTATATTATTAAAAAATATTTTTAATCTTTTGAAATTTTAATGGTAAACTCTTTTTTAAAGTGTTAGATTTTAAGGGAGAGAATTTGTTTAAAGAAGAAAGTAAACTATAAACTTCAGAGCAGGATATTTTTTTCACATTATGCCGAGTTACAAGGCTATTCATTAAAAAGCAATATTTAATAATCTTAAATGATCTTAATGTTACAGGTAGACTTTCAAGTAACAATCATTTTAATGCCTTGAATGAGATGCTTCCTATTTCAAGTTTGCCTCACCCATCAGAGAGGAAAAAACTTGCAACAGTTGTTACTTATGATAACGTTTAATGTTTTTCAAGATAATGGAATTATTTGTTTCATTGATGGTAGCAAGTTAGGTAGAAGGGTTGGCCTTGCATTTGTTATTACGAAAATGGTAAAGATAATGTAATGGTCCAAGATGAACTATCAGATGAATGTTCTATGTTCCTGGCTGAATTTCTGAGTTTTAAATCTTGCTCTTAAATAGATACAAAATTGTTGCCATAAGCGTGAAAAGTTTGTAAAGATTCTCTTCTACGTGATATGTTATTAACAGAAACTGGTGATGAAAATTCACTTATCTTATAAAGACTTGATCTTCTAAAGTTAATTGTAAGTAAATCTACTATCGTATCATAAAAAGCATTACTTGAAAGATCAATCCTTCATGGTTTGACTTCAATTATTGCAGTCTCATAGTCTTTTCAGAGTTTCATGTCTTATTTCTGAGCCTATATTATATTGCTTTGAATTCTGCTTTAGTTGTATTTAAAAATCTAATTATTCGTTAATTTTAACTCAAATTCAACAACAATCATTTTTGACGTTAATGAATACAACTGAAAAATGCAAAAGAGTTCCAATAAATGACGAATTTTTGTAATCCGTTTCTTCATATATATAGTATGAACAAAAATCTCTGTTTTTATTATAAATAATTTTCTTTTACCTTTTTCTTTTCTTAGCACGTGGTTGCTGGTATGCGTCGCCAATGCAAATGTCATGGAATGTCTGGGAGTTGTACTGTGCAAACTTGCTGGATGCAGCTGCAGTCTTTCAGGGCAGTAGGAGAAAGTCTCAAAGACAGATTTGATGGCGCTTCAAGGGTCCTTGTCACCAACAGAGGGAACGTAAGGCGACGAGCACTTCTCAAGCCTTACCATCCAGAACACAAACCTCCTTCTAAGAAGGATCTTGTCTATTTCGAAAATTCACCGGACTTTTGCGATCCAGATCCTGCGTTAGGACATGCAGGAACTACAGGTCGTGTGTGCAATGAATCATCCCAAGGAGTTGACGGCTGCGATCTCATGTGCTGTGGTCGTGGTTTCAAAACAGAGAACAGAGAGGAATTGTCCAGATGTAATTGTACTTTTCACTGGTGTTGTCAAGTTGATTGTAAGATGTGCAAGTCACGAAAACTAGTACACTCGTGCTTATGATAATAGTCTGTAAGTCGATCCCTCGGTTGCTGCATATGTGAGTGTATAATCTTCAAAACTTGCTACAAAGTAGCGAAAGTGTTGATTCTGAATAAACTGCAAATCTGAGTTTTCATGTAAAAATTAGGTTTATTGTGTGTTAAAACTCAGGGGAACCTTATAAAAATGCTGAAATGTTTGCAGTGATACTCAAAACGCACAAACACTTTTGTGTTCCCTAGGGCTCAAGATTTTACAGCCGAATATTCAAAAACAAAAGAAAAAAGGCGATAATAATATAGAAAATAACTGTACAATTAATGAAATTAAAAAAAGTTACAGTGGAAATCTTCTTGCCCTGAGATACTTTTGAATTCATTCAAATGTTTATTAACAAATTGGCGTAACCAGAAAAACCTAAAGGTTATTCATATTGTACTGTAATGCATGGAATATGACATAATGGGTAGGTTACAGTCATCAGTTAAATATTATTGTGCTTTTTCTAATATAATGTTAAAAATTTTTAATGAATATTTAATACATTCTCTGCATTTATTGACAGTAAACGCTTGCTTATTCCTCAGCACTTTATACAGTAAACTGCTATCATTGTCAAACGTTTCCAGGCATTTGCAGTCATAACTAGCTTGCAATTTTTACTGAAACAAAACTTTTAACTGAATGATGTTAGCTAGTGCCAACTATAATCGTGATCTTTGCTTATTAAGCGCCCAAATTAAATTCAACAAAATACGTTTCTGTACTGATGTTTGAAAACTAGCCTGGAATGATTTACACATAAGGCAACTTTCATGTTTGTAGATAATGTTAATGATGATTTTGAAATAATTATGTTTAAGCTGTTTTCATTTTGATATGCTACAGTTCTGTGATAGTAAAATAAGCAGGAGACCCCATGGCCATGATACAAGACATACTGAAACTGCTTAATTCTCCAAGTGAATACATATTTTAAGATAAGAACTTGATGATCACAGATATGCATCACTAACGATATGCTGAAAATATTATGTCTGTATTATGCTGTAGTAAAGAATCCTTTGTTTATCTTTATGCATTGAACTGTGGGAAATCATGCATAGATAGGTATTTTTAAGACATTTTTTGGACGCAGTATTGTGTTTCACCCTATTTCTGGCTAAGGGAATCAACGTGTATATACTTGCCTACAACTCTGTATATTTGAATTCCAAAAGAGAGGCATAAGATATAAATATACCACCAGGCTTGGATTCTTTAAATATTTATTAATTTGAAAAAGACTCCAACTTTTTGCTTAAAACAATTGAGATTATTAGTGTGCACTTAACTTTGGATATGCCCTTAACTATCATGCGAAAATCGGAATTATTGAAATTATGTAATCATATTGACTAAATGCTTTCTCCTTTTACATTCTGAAACTTTGCTTAGGACTTCATAAATTGTAGCATTTGCATGAGTTAGTAATATGTAAATTAGTTGTGCAAATTCCTGTCGTAATACAACCAGAAATGTATGTTATGTGTATACATATACATGTGTAGCATATTTAAAAAAGTACCTTATGCTTAAAATACTGTAAAAATCGGTAATAAACTGTTAAATTAAGTTTTGTTTATTTCATTAAATATAAGGGTGTGTAAAATTTTTGCGACAAAATGTGCTATTTCATATTTATTTTTTAAAAACAGCTAATGCATTTTACTTCGTAAACAAAGTAAGTTTACTCTTTTCATATTACTTATATTTTTAATATTCTTGAAATATGAGCTTCAGATGAGATCTCTACATTAGCTTTGCTTAGAAGCTCATCAGAGTAGGATAGTTGGAAAATTCTTTAAAAAAAACATATTTTCCGTTAGTTAATTGACTACATTTGTTCTCAAAGATGGCAACTTTTCATGTCTATCCCATCATATAAATTATGAAATTAAACATTAAAATCTTTCTTAACTTTCAAAAGCATACGTACAAATACTTTCCATCATTTATATTTTTCATTGGTATCTAACTGCAACTGGAAAGTTAAATGAAAATGCTATCTACTTGTATAACTTAAATTATTTCATGTCGCTTTCTTCGCGTAAATTAAGTACAAAAATAGATCGATCTCCATTTGAACCCTTCAGCCATTAAGTAGAGTAAAAGTATTGAATATGTGTCTTACTAATAACTGTGTGTCGTTATAGTTTCATAGAGTATACCTGCGAATTATGTTTTAGAGTACGCATAATAAGCCATATATCAGTAAAGAATTAAATCTCGGCTAGGGCATTTTGGAATACAGATTTTATCACAAACAGTCGTCCAATACAAAATTAAAATACAAAGAAAACTTATATAGTATATGCAATATATTCCTTTATTGTACTGACAAAAGAAGTTTATCAAAGTGTTTCACTTGTCACTCTCAAGGTAGAATTGCTTATTATCACTATGTTCAATAGCGATAATAAACAGTTCTAACCATTTATCAGAAGCGAAATTTCTTCTGATCGTTTATCAGAAAAGGATGTTATCCACTGGTTATCATTAATTAAGGAAAATTTGCAAAAAGGACGATAACTCAAAAAATTACATGTAGAATTTAATGAAACTGACCTACAGCATACAACACGTAGTAAAATAACAGGAAAAAAATTACCAGGCAATTATGGTATTATAGAAATTAGCATATGTATAAAATGAACAAATTAGATGTTTTAGTCCGGTGTTGAAAATACCTTCAATATGGAGTATGACCTCTCCTAGGAGCAATGCAGCACACACAGAGATGTGTGATGCTGTCAGTAATGTAGTCTATCAGTTCCGTAGCAAGTGAAAGCTATTTGTTCTTGCAAAGCAGTTGCAAGGGTCTAAAATCGATGATTGAAAGCAGCTATAAGTCTTCCTAAAGCATCCCGAACATGCTCGATAGGATTCATATACGGTGATCGAACTGGTCACTGAATGTTTTGCTGGAGGCAATCATCCACGATACGAGCCCTGCGCAGTCTGGCGTTGTCGTCCTGAAGCAGAAAATCATAAGTTATTGCTCCGGCATAAGAGTGCGCATAAGTATCAAGAAAGTCATCTCTATAGGCCTAAGCATTCTATATGGAGAGAGATGGAGGTCTGTGCGTCCACCCAAAGAGATACCACCCAATCACAGATACTGCCTTCTCCCAATGCATCTCCCTCACCGATGTTTGATGGAAGGATAATAACGGTTTTCAGGTTCTCTTAAAATCAAATAACGCCTACTATCGCTTTGGAGACCAAACCTCGACTCATCCATAAAGACAACAGCCCTCCATTGATCAGCCGTCCAGTGGACATGTTGACATGCTCACCTCAAAAGTTCCGTTCTATGACGTGACGCGAGCGGCATGCAAATGGCTGGTCGTTTCGTATACAGACATTCTTCGTAAAGCCTTCCATACACAGTTGACGTTGACACCAACGTCAGGTGGCTGCTACAAAGGAGGATCTGAGTTAAGTCTGAGTTACTGTTCTGTTCTTTCATAATGATAACAACAAATATCGGTCATCGGCGCTCGTCGTAGCGATTGATCGTCTTTGGCTGAACCTCCCGGATGCCGAATCTGTGGTTAGAAATTGGTGTCAAAGTCTATGACCCGCAAAAGGATTCACGTTTATTCATGCGGCTACTTCTACCTGATTTTATTCTGCCTGTAGTCTCCCCGATAATTCTCTATCGCAGTTCTTCGAGCAAATAATGCCTGAAGATCATTGTCACAAATTATCTATCTTAGATTTCTTATCTCAGTATCACATCGAAATTTCTAGGCCTGCTTTCAAATATGCAATTTTATGCTCCTCGCAGATGATATATTCCGACTACAGCGCCACTAATTTGCATACTGTAGTTTCATTCAGCAACTGCTATTAGATAACAAATTCAAATTTTATACGGATTGGCTAATTTTTAATTTAGTTATGGCTATTTTTGTAATTTTTTCTTAATTTTTGGAAATCTGTTTATTATAATACGAACATTGGCCTAACATTGTGATCTTACCATATCATTTTCTCTTCAAATAATCTAACTATTTGCTTTCAAGCCATACTTAATCTTGAAGCCTAATCACGAAGATAGTCTGCTTATCGACATATTGCTGTAATTTACTTCCGAACTGCCTTTATGATTTCCTTAATAATTCAAAGCTTTCGTTTACAGGCATCGAATACGTCCTCAGAAAAAGTAAGCAGTAACTGCGAGGTTTGGTGAGTGCTCTAGGCCTTTTGATATCACAACATGGTGATATTAGACACGACGGAAAGAAGTTATCCAGTACTCATATGGATGTCCTTCATCTGCAGGAAGGCAGCACATTACAAGAGTTCTGTACTGAGAACAAAAATTTTCGATGCTGCTTCTTTCCTTTCTATGTTTCATCCGTTAGACTTTCTGAAAATTCATTTTTCTCACTTATGTGTTAATTTTGGATAATTCTCAAGCGATTTAGGAGAATAAAAGAGATTTTTTTCCTTTAATAAATTTTACGAGTTAAAATAAATATTATTATAAATTATGACACTGACGTTTGTTATCGTTGAAGCGATTTCAAAGACTAAGTACTGCTTCGACCTCTTTTTTCCTATTCCACTGATGCACTGAACTCGATTGAGCAATTTAATCCAAACTTGTATTCATATAGGGCACTTGAATGAAGAAGTGCAAAATACTTCTTAAATTTGCTTCTTATGATTCTTTTATAGTGGAAATATAATAGATAAAGACAGCAACAATCACTACCTTGTTTCAAGAAAGATACAGCTGCCAATTCCATCTTTTGGAAAACTATTAATAGGTGTTTCAGTAAAATAATTTTACATACGCTTAGAAATGTTTTATCTATTTGAAGTCTGTATAATGGCTCATCGTTTAGAGATCTTTCTAAACAAATTAACCTGTCACCGTAGGAAGGAAAGTTATAGCTGTTTTTTTTTTTCTGAGCCAAACCTATACGAAAACCATTTTGAACTGTATATGTAATCAAGCTGCATTTACAAAATATCTTTTTCATGCGCCGAATCGTCATGTTTATTTAAAAATTCGATGTTCCCACGAAATAACTTCTTGCACTAAACAGAGATAGTTAAAGCATTAAAACACTTGCAATTTATAATATTATATTACAAATTACAAGCATTTTAATGCTGCGGGATCCGTTTGTCTCTTTCTCCAATCGATTTAGAATATTTGTATACAAATGACTTAGCCCAGCATCTAAAAAAACACCTTTGTTCTTCTCGCGGCAAGGTGATGAATTCACACTCATCTATCTTTCTTAAGGATATCGTCTGATGAGAAATTCAGATAGAATTTCAATGTTTATCCAGTACTACAATAAAACTCTGCAGTAATTATCTGTTTTCTGTTATGAAGAAATAACCTTCAGGCTGTTACGTTAATACGGGTAATGATCTTATTGAGGAGATCATTTAGTGGTGTGAGATTCAAAACAAACCTTCTACAATATGACTCTAAACAAACTGTAGTACAAATGCATAAGTGGTTATGTAAACAAATCATAGTGAAAAACTGTTCAAACACATTATTTATTGTAAGCCTCAAAACCTTTCCCCCTTCCCTCATAAGGTCATCCTATGGACTTGAAAAATGTGGCTTTGTAGGGGAGGAGGACTTGGAACAATACAGTTACATAAAGATGTGCAGCAATATAGAAAAGAAAAATAATATTTTTATATAAATACTGGCATGTAATTTTTAATTAAAATTAAATAAACAATGTCATTTATTTAAAGTATAAATTATGTTCAAAGTCTTGAAATAATAGCAAATAAATCTGAATTATATCAAAAATTATTCATTATATTGAAGAAATAATACAAATAAAATAATACAATAATACAAATAAAATTCGTGTATTGTTAGTGTTTTGATTTTCCAAAAATTATATATATATATTTTAAAAATAAGAAGTGTACATAAAATAAATTTCAACCTCATTGGAGGATATAAAACAATGTTTCTCAACCTTTTTTTGTGCTGTACCCCACCTAATCCTCTTTACAATACTTATGCTTCCCTTAGCATATACATAACTTTTAATATTCAAAAATTGAAATGTTTACGAAAGCAACTTGAATGATAGGTTTTAGAAAGTAATCACTAGGAAATTTTGTGAGTTAACACAGTAAGTAAACTTTCAAAACTTTTAATGGAGAACTGAAATTCAAATAAAAAAATTAATGAAAGTTTTTCCTATATTATTTTTAGTAATTATTTATTATTTAAATTTAGTGAGATCCTTGCGCTTGATGCTTGCTGCAAAGAGATTTTATTTAAATTCCAATTTAGTTAACTTCAGTCTCAAGTCATCATGTTTTATTATATCCAACCGGTTTCTTTTCAGCAGCAAATTATTTATGGCACTAAATCTGCAAATCATTTATGCATAAAATCATTTAGGGCACTAAATCCGCATTCAGCTTATAAGATATCTCTTCCACCTTCTTAGCATGCCTTCGTAACGTAGTGGTCTGTACGCTGGGCGCGTATTCCAAAGGTCCGTGGTTCAATTCTAGGCGAAGGCGTTGCTCATTTTTCATTTCTCCTGCTTTGAAAAATATAC